ACATTTTCATTTTCACCCATCTGATAGTCAAAAAGTGATACCCTTAGATCAAAGGGAAAAAAGTGGTATCTCTGGTTAACTTTGCATTTTTCTAATTACATGAGGCTGACCATCTCTTATGTTTAATCACCACACACACAAACACATGCACAGTTCATTATCAAGTCTTCTCATTTTTTTCTTTCTTTTTTTTTTTGCGAGGGAGTCTTGCTCTGTTATCAGGTTGGAGTGCAGTGGCACAATCTCAGCTCACTGCAACCTCTGCCTCCTGGGTTCAAGCAATTCTCCTGCCTCAGCCTCCTGAATAGCTGGGACTAAAGGCATGCACCACCAGCTAATTTTTGTATTTTTAGTAAAGACGGGGTTTCACATGTTGGCCAAGATGGTCTCAATCTCTTGACCTCGTCATCCGCCCACCTCAGCCTCCTAAAGTGCTGGGATTACAGGCGTGAGCCACCACGCCTGGCCAAAGTCTTCTCAGTTTTCTATTGGGCTTTGGTTCTTCATTCCTCAATTTAAGAGTTCTTCATATATTACAGATATAGACCCTTTATCTCTGATACACATTGCAAATCCGTTCTCTCAATTTGTCAGTTGTCTTTTGACTGGGATATTTTGCCAATCTAGCACGAGCTCTTATAAATTGAGATCAGGGGATGCCTGGGGTTTGCAAATCTGAAATGGTATGCAAATGGTATGTCTGTTTTTCTGAAAGGTCTGCAGTGTTCAGATTTCCAAAGAGTCCTGTGACCTGAGAGTGATTAGGAGCTGCTGCTGCCCCACATCTTCCACTGGCTTAACTGTGCCCCACAGGACCACTCCTGCTGAATGACCTCTAAATTGTTGAAGGCATCTCTCACGTCTCTTGACTGTTCTCTTTCACAAGTTAGACACCCAATGACCTGGCTTCCAGATGCATATTGTCAGGTTGTGTCATTAGTGTGAATACTTATCCATGAATGCCTTCCTGGTTTTTTATACCTCTCACACATATGACAACAACAGGAGAGTATAATACTCTAGCTGTGGCCTGACCAGCACATAAAGGAGCATAACCACCACTTCTCAGTCCAGATAACACATTTCCCTTAATTATTTTAAGAGCAAATTGGCTTTTCCTGGCACAAAGTCAATTCTAATTGACCTGCTAAAACATGCAGGTCTTCCGTTTCCCCTTTCCCTGTAAGTACTTCTGTTTCTTTTCACTTGTGGAGATCACTTTTTGAAACCAAGTACAAAATGTTAACATTTATATCAATTAAATTTCATTCGGCTTTATACAATTCAAAATGGAATATACACCTGGTGGAGCTGGGAGGGAGAAAAGGCATGATTTTAAAAAACAACAGGGAGGCCGGGCGCAGTGGCTCACACCTGTGATCCCAGCACTTTGGGAGGCCGAGGTGGGTGGACCACGAGGTCAGGAGATCGAGACCATCCTGGCTAACAGGGTGAAACCCCGTTTCTACTAAAAAAAATACAAAAAATTAGCTGAGTGTGGTTGCGGGCGCCTGTAGTCCCAGCTACTCGGGAGGCTGAGGCAGGAGAATGGCATGAACCTGGGAGGTGGAGCTTGCAGCGAGCCGAGATTGCACCACTGCACTACAGCCTGGGTGACAGAGCAAGACTCCACCTCCAAAAAAAAAAAAAAAAAAAAAAAGAACAGGGAGATAGTAATCTAGTTCTTAGGTTGGTTCTTACATAAGCATGTGTATGTATACGTATGTATATATAAATATATATATGCATGTGTGTTCGTTATACTTTATGCATATTACACATGCTTTTATATCAAATATTACATTAAGAAACTTTTCTCTCCTGAAGTGGTAGGTCCCTAAATTGGGGGAAAAAAAAAAAAGAAACTTTTCTTAAGACTCAGCCCACCACATTAAGAAGCAACACAGGCCGGG